CCCTCCCCAGCTTTCCTGGAGCCCCTTCAGGCCCTGGAAGCTGCTCTAAGGTCTCCCTGGAGCCTTCTCTTCTCCAGGCTGAACACCCCAACCCTCCCAGCCTGGCTCCAGAGCAGAGCTGCTCCAGCCTTGGATCTTCTCTGTGGCCTCCTCTGGACCTGCTCCACCAGCTCCACATCTCTCCTGTGCTGAGGGCACCAGAACTGGACACAGTGCTCCAGGTGGGGTCTCACCAGAGCAGAGGGACATGGGCCCACCTTGTCCCTTCCCTCTAGGGTGCCAACCACACCACACAGCTTGGTATCATCAGCAGCTTGTTGAGGAGACATTCAATCCCACTGTCCATGTCACTGACAAAGATATTGAACAGCACTGGTCCCAGTGACCCCTGAGGGACACTGCTCATCACTCGCCTCCACATTTTCTACCTCCTGTCGGGAAATTATTTCACACCAGTGAGTACCTTGATCACCTTCAGGGTATTGGTCAGGCAGGGCTGGATGAAGCACAACCTCTTTTCCCTTTTCATCTCACACCTCCTGTTGTCGTTGGTCACCCTGCTGGAGATGCCAAGGCCACAGGTCCTGGAGCAGGGGCTCCAGCGGGTCACCTGCACCAGGCACTTGTTCTTCAGCACCACTGGTGGGCTTCTGTAAGCTGAGACAGCAAGATATTCCTTATGCAGCAGAACAGCCCCCCAGGGATTAATTAGAAATTAAAGGGTAATCATATGAGCTCTGTTCATTTTGTTGGTAAACCTAAAAATGAGGCACAAAGTGACACAAAAGTCCCAAGGCTGCCCCTCACATCTACTGAGGCTGGATGCTCAGGTCCTACCAAGGGTTATGGAATCACATCTTGTGTGCCTGCCCAGTCCAGTGGGACTAAAAAGTTACATGAAGAGAGTTACCTCTGGAATTTTTATGAAATGTCCAGAATGGAAGAACCACTGAAATTTGCTGAAGGCCAAGCACAGCTCAAGAAGAGGTGCTGAAACCAGAAATGCTGGTTTCTTTGCAGGCATTGTAGTGGCTTTGGGTGGATTTTTCAGGAGTAAAATTCTCTCAACACTTCTAGATACCACCAAAAACCTATTTTCTGATGGATCAGGGCTGGATTAGGTGGAGTACATTTTTTAAAAATAATAATAAATAAATAAAAATTGCAGTGTAAAAGTTCATGGTGAAATTCTGCAAAAAAAAAAAACCAACAACACCCTGGTTATGTGGAATCTGGGCATTTAAGGAAGAGCAGGGGCAGAAGGACAAGGATACCTGGAAAGCAGAGAGCAATTCAAAGATCTCATTGCAGCAAGCAGGGTGAAACCTGTCCCAGATCTGCAGCAACAAAAGGGGAGTTAAGTGGTTGTTCACACTTGGTGTGTTGTTCCAGTAGGTGCCAGGTACCTCCCCAGGTGTCTAAATGAGGTGAACAGAAGTGACACGGAAAGCCAGGGAACAGGGCAAGCAGAGGAATGAAACCTGGCCCTGGTTATCCAGGAAAAAACCCTTCTCACAACACACACTGGTCCATTGAGGCCCCTCATGATGCTCATGCATGAGTTGATGTCACCCTTCTGCTTGCTCTGGGAAGGGGGGACACCTCATGTGGAACAACAATGTGATGTGCAGGGCTGGGTTCTGCTGGGGAAGGAGTCACTGGAAGCTGGACTCCAGCTTTTCAATCCATTGTTGTGCTGTGAAGTAAATGGCTTAATGCTGCCCCCAGGGCTCTGAAACACCCACAGACCCAATCAATGAATTCCATGGGGTCAGCTGGCTTGGTTGCCCTTGTTCTCAATATGTTATGGTCTCTTTGTGATCAGCTCAGCAGTGTTCTCTAGAAATTAAGTCTCTCTTCACTTGAAATCAGCTGCCCCAGTTTGTTTCTACACAGCACTAAGTACACTGCTCTAAAAAGGCTCTGACACCAGTTATAGGCCTTGTATCCTCATTTTGAAATAAAGATGAGCTTCCTTTGTATCTTGCTAAGGTGCCTAACCACAGCTAACAGGTTAGATGTCCAAACGGAACTTCAGATGTTGTGTCTGTTCACCTGCCAATCGACTCACAAAGTCTTTTACAAAGATTTTCTGATCAGTTTTGTGATCCTTATTTTTATGTTACTGATTCATGGTGATGATTCGGGCCATAATTCAAGTAACTGGCTCAGCATTCTGGTACCCACACTAGTTGTGAGGAAGATGAGCCTCACCATGGAGGTTGCAGCTGCACAAGGAAGGAGGCAGCCCCAGGGCAGGCAGCTGTGGGCAGGCAAGGGCCAGGACTGCTGCTTCTGGCCCCTTCCTTCAAAGGGAAAAGACCCCTACAGGGTTAGAGCCAGACTGAAGTGCAAGGGAATGTCAGCTGAGCCTGGGAGAACTGCTTGGATAACATCTCTGAGTTTGATCAATCTGAATAGTGAAGAAACTGGCGAGGTTTGTCCTCGCAGTGACCTGACAGTCTGTGGGCTGATGAAAGCTGCAAGGCAGCCTCTGCAATTCCCTGCTGTCTCCTGGAAGAAGAGGGCTGCAACCTGCTGATGAGCCTCTGTGCCACCAAACCTCCCTCCCAGCACAGAGCAGGGGAGAGGGACGCAGCTCCCAGGCTGCAGGGGGTCTGCCCAGCACAGCCCCAGCAGGGCTGGTCTGATGGGCACCAACCCTCTGCAGGGAGCTTGGCCAACCCCCTGCTGGCCTGGGCAAAAGGCTTTTTGCTCTTCACGTCCCTCTGAACCAGAGACTTAAGGGTTACATTTGCCAAACCTAGATGATGCTGAATAGTAGAATCTGTTAATCTTGGTCAGAGGAACATTGAACTAGGATGTGTCTCCCTGAGAGCCCAAGCAGCAGGACTCAGAATGAGGAACAAGACAACCCAGCAGAGTGAAGACTACAAGCCTTCCTCCCAGAGAGCCCCGACAGGCACTGCCCATGTGGGAGTGGGCACAGCTTGATGTGAATGACTTAAATACTATCCTGAATTCAGGGAGTTAAGCTGTAGAATCCTGCCTGTTCTTTTGCAGGTGATGTCCATGTCTATTTGTAAGTGAATCACTACGGACTGTCCTGCCCGCGGGTGCGCGGGGACGGAAATCCCGGCGCTGCAGTAAAGAACCTGCTCTAGAGCTTCACGAGGGCCAGGGAGTCTTTTTCCATCACCTCCACCAGGTTTAGAGCAAAGAGCCTGTGACCTGAGAGCACGAGGGGTGGCTGGGGCACCTGGCAGGGGCCGTGAGCGAGAGCCGCGGAAGCAGCCAGCCGGGCAGCAGGGCTGCGGGAGGCAAGGGCCCCGCGGAGCGCGGTTCCCGGGGCCGCAGCACACCTGAGAGCAGTCTGTAGCTGGCTGGTTGAAGCTGCTGCTGCTGCTGTCTAGGTGCACAGGTGGAGCATCCAGGCTTGTGTCTGCCCAGGGCCCCGGCGCGGGGCGCGAAGGCGGGGGTGCATCCGATGGCCCCCCCGACACACAGGCACTGGTACAGGGGGTGAGGCTGGAAGCTCTGCCCGTTACGGTAATAGACTCCATTCAGCTCACATCCTACAGCCACCAGGTCTGCAAAGGGTAACAGCAGTTAGCAGCACGGGAGGAGCAGGAGGAGCTCCCCAGCCCTGACCCACAGCTCCCACCTCCTCCCAGCCCCAGAGCTCCTGCTGTTATTTATGCCCAGCGATAACTGCGTCTGCCTAACTTGAGTAACCTGGTAACTGCCATCACCCTGCAAACAACAGGCTCGTGCCACTGAACTGGGTCCCCCCCAGCCCTACACCCAGATGCTGCCCGAGCAGCCAGAGGACCTCAGCAGCACC